CCTGCAAAAGATCTCTTTAAAGTGTTAAAAAGCAAAGATGTCACTCTGAGGACTAAGGTGCGCCAGACCTAAGCCATGGTATTTTCAACTGCTTCATAAGCATGTAAAAGCTGGTAAATGAATAAGGAAGACCGAAGAAGAACTGAAGCCTTTGATTTAGGGTGTTGGCGAAGAATATTGACTGTACCATGGACTGCCAGAAGAACAAACAAATCTGTCTTGGAAGAAGTACAGCCAGAACGCTCCTTAGAAGCAAGGACGGCGAGACTTCATCTCATATACCTTGGAAATGTTATCGGGGGGACCAGTCCCTGGAGGACATCATGCTTGGTAAAGCAGAGGGTCAGCAAAAAAGAAGAAGACCCTCTATGAGATGGATTGACAAAGTGGCTGCAACAATGGGTCCAAACAGAGCAAGCATTGTGAGGATGGCGCAGGACTGGACAGTGTTTTGTTCTGTTGTGCACAGGGTCACTATGAATAGGAAATGATTTGATGGCACATAACAATACAACAACAACAATTTTTATGGAAGTAGATCACCAGGTCTTTCTCCCGTGGAGCTGCTGGACAGGCCTGAACTCCCAACCTTCTGGTTAGCTGTCGAGAGTCTAACTGTTTGTGCTACCAGTTTATTACAGGTTTTAGCTCCTGTACATGTCATTTTAAGATGCTGTATTTACCCTCCCCCCCTTTTTTTTTAAATTATGTTTTTAAAGAAGTTAAGAAATGGCTCTGAGCTGTTACAGTTACAGCCCTAACCATACTTTTTATCTTGCTTCAGGGAGCAAGCAGAAGTACTGTGAGAACTAACAACAAATGCGAGCAATAGAGCACACGAGAGAGGGACAAGCAAACATGAGAAGTCACTGATGGAGTTAGGCTGTTTTCTAAAAGGTCACTGCCTCCAATTCCCCAAAGTTCCATTTCAATACCTTATAAGTCTATAATACTTTGAGTGATCAGACATTTCTTTTTACCATGCTACCAGGGGACCTGTGCTGGTGGCCAAACTAACCAAATGTATAGTGAAAGCCATGGAGCTGATCAATTAATTAATCAACCCTTATAATTTATTTGTTTTCTGACTGTCTCTTCCCTTAGAGTAGAAACTTCAGGAAAGCAGGGATTTTGACTGCCTTATATTCACTGCTAGGCCCCTAGCACAATTCTTGGTACACAGTAGTTCTTCATTAACTATTTGTTGAATAAATGTCAATTTCTTACTGTAAGATACATCAATGCTTGACTACATCAAGACAGAGCTAACACCACAGGATAAGCTAACGGTCCTTGGGCCTCTTATACATGTAAGTATTATGAGAGTCACTGCATTACTAAACAAAACATGATTCATACATATGACTGCTTTTTTTTGACACCAAGAAAAGCAACAGAAACTGACATATACACAGTGTAGCGTTTTTACTAAAAGCTTACCATTCTACACTGTTCCATACCAAAAAAAAAAAAAATCCATTTTCACTTTAGTAAAAGAATGCAAATACATAAGACTTTTGCCATAGGTGCTAGGGGATTTTTAGCTTATCCTATCTATATTAAATTTGACAAAGGGCAACTTACTTTATCACATACGAATACCAACAACTAGAGATACAGATCTGATACTACCATGGAAAAAGACAATGAGAACAACAAGCTTATTTATCTTTGGGTTTTAATACTCTTATTCACACTAATTCCAGATATTTCCAGAGTACATAACATTAAATGAATCAATGCCAAGGCAAGCCGGAGGGATTTCTAACATCATTTACCATACTTCCTTTTCCTGAGCAAATTTCAAAATGGAGTATTTTTATAAACATTCCATTAGAGA